CCCGGGTCACAGGCAAGACACCTGCCACAGGCTGTCCCTGCGCCCCCGGGGCCGCCGGGAGGCGGGAATCAAAGGGACACGGGGGAGCGAGTGGCAAGAAGAGGATTTCTAATTGCTGCCGTGCAGATGCACTTCATTCCAGAGGGATGGAGAGGGCCGTGCGTGCCTGCTGCAGCCCAGCCCTCGCCTTACACGGCCCCAGTCCGGCATCCCACCGAGGCTGGGCACGTGTCTGAAAGTAGGATTTTGGGGGATTCACATAGCTATTCTGTTTCTCACCTTTTTTAACCCAAGCGGCGAGTTCAGCTGCTTTTTCGCTAATGGTTGTTCAAAATACATCTTTGCTCGTTGCAAGCGAAATACTGCTCCTGGGGACACGGGGTTGGTTTTGCTTCAGGTCCCCCTCCTGCAGTTGAGGGCTGCAGGTGGCACCGTCCTGCTGTTGTTCTGTCTCTGGATGAGCTCTGGAGGGAGCAAATGGCCCCCGGGACTGTGGGGTGCGCGATGCTGACTGCTGCTGCCGTGGGTGATGACTCCAAGAGCGAGCAGGAGTCCCGGGGTGGCTGTGGCTTTGTGCCTTGGCCAAGGGGCACTGCCTTTGGCAAGAGCACGGGGGGACCTGAGCGGTGCTGCCTGTGGTGGGTCCTTGGCAGATGTCAATGGGGAGTTCAGCTGCTCTGCATTTTTGGGGTTGATCATAGCCCCACAGCGGAGGAGGGTGAGGAGGGACTGTCTCCGAATCCCCTGGATGGTACCAGAGGCCAAGCAGCCTCTTCCTCCGGCGCCGTCGCTCCCGAGCAGGAAAGGAGCTCTGCCCTTATTAACTCTGATTTCTGCTCTTCATAATCATATGCCGTTATGTGCATTCACCGGGAGCCCTTTGGCCTTAACGACCCCTCTGGAATAACCATGCAAAGAAAAAAACCTTCAGGGCCTTGAGCTGCCCGTAATTGCAACCCCCAGCCATAAACACGAGCGCGGTGGCGATGCAAATGCTGGGCGGTGGAGAGGAGCGGGTCGGGGTCTGCGTGGGAGCAGGGGGCTGCAGCCATGCTGTTGGTGGGGGAATGGCCTTTTTCTTGCCTTCTTGCCAGGGTTCGGGACTTGGGGCGCACAGAAGTTTGGATAGATGGACAAAGCAGCCACGGATTCCGAAATGGCCCCGGTTCTTACCAGGGTTAATAACTGGGTGTCAGATGACTTGTGAAAGCAGCCACTCCATTAGAAATGCTAATGGGCTTCTCCCCTTTCCCTGCTCCGCATCCCCCAGATCTTGATGCTAAACAGGTCAGAAAGCCAAACTCAAAACTCCCCCGGCTCCTGGCCCTTCCCAGAGCCCCCCAACAAGCCCCATTGCTGCCTCCCTCCCATTGCAGCCCGTCCCCTTCCCAGGACGAAGCTGCTGGGCTCTGCAGCCGGAGAGGGAGTCCCTCAGGAAGGGTCTGCGGGGGCTCAGACCCCGCGGGGAGCAGCCCTGGCCGGCGGCAGCACCCTGCCCATCGCATCGCCCTCTGCCTCTGAGCCTCTTCTGCAGCCTGACCCGGCTGAATCCCAGCCCAGGGACCCTGTGGTCTAGTGGTTGGGAGAGCTCTGGGGTCCTTTTGCGTTGGCTGGTGACGCTCCAGTCGTGGTCGTGGGCTGTTGGCCCCACGAGAGGCTGTTTGGGAGCTGGAGGGGATGCTTGGGACTGTGCAGGGACGCTCCAGCTGGGAGCAGGACCCGGCAAACCTCCACCATGTTTCATGTATCAAACTATAATTAGGAGCAAAGGGCAGGGGGGGTGCGAAGGAGCATTAATAAATTATCTTCCTTGTTGTTAATTGATGTGTCTCAGAGTCAGCCGATCGTTGAGCTGAGGGCTTGGCTCCCCTTCCAGGCGCATCACAGGCTCGTTACTGCCATCATTAGCATATTCAGGTTTCCCTGCTTAAAGCCAATTAGCTCCTGGCCAGGCCTGATTGGGAAGCCGTGGCCTCATTTGCACGTTTTTGAATCGGTGAAAGAATCAAAAATAATGGAGGCAAGCCTGGGATGGAAAGCGCCCGGGGGGTTCTGCCTGCTGGGGAGGTGCTGGCAGGACCCGCTGCCTCCTCCGAAGGGGCAGCGGGGAAGGAGTAATTAGGAATAAAAAGGAACATGGCCTAATTTGCTCCCGGGCGGCTTGATGGCGAGTTCAGCCTTCCGCGCCTCGCACTGAGGTTCAACAGATGCCCCAGTGCTTTGCTCCGGGAAAAGGAGGTGATGGAGAGGACCGGGGTAGGGGGTAAGTACGGCTGCCCATGCATGTCCCCCACCCTGCTTTAGGGAATGGGGGGTCCAGCAGGTCCCCCAGCAGCTGGGGTCTCCCTGGCAGAGCCGGGAGCAGGGACACAAGGCGGGATGTGTCCCTGCTGGCATCCCAACCCCATTGCTGCTTTCTCCCGCCTTGGTTCCCAGCAAAGGTGCTGCTATTTTAGCTGCCTCGAAGGAAGAGGCCGGTATCTTAAAGTCTGCATAACTGGTTCCAGTTTAACAACTTCATAGCTGCTGTGCGGCCACAAAGGCAGCCTTGTCCCGCTGGGTGAGATAAGCCTGTTGGGGCGATTCATATGCAGATCCGGGTGGTACCGGGTGTCTGCTGGGAGAGGATAAATCTGTCCCAAGCCTTGTCCCCCTCTCCTGGTTCCAAACTGTTTTACATTTACACAAAAAAGGTTCTGTCCCCCATTGAGCCCGGTCCCGGGCAGCCTGTCACCCTGCCTTTGAGAGAGGAGGTCCCCTGGAACCGCCGCCGGACCCCACTGGGTGCCCCCTGCCCAGACAAGGCTGGGCTGGGGTGGGCGAGCAGAGCCGTCACTGGCGCTAAGCTGGGCTGTCCCGGCCGGTTTTGTCCCCCACCGCCCATCTTATTGCCTTGAAAGAGTCACTTTCTTTGGCCCTGCAGAAAGCCCTCAACCGTATCCCCTCCGGCAGAAATCCCCTTGCCTTTCACTGGCTTTTGTCGGGGGCTTTTTTTGTCAGCACTCATTTGTGGGGTTTTTTTTAATAATAACAGAGAGGGGGGCTTTTTCCCCCTTTTCCACTTTTGGTGATAACACAGAACCTGCAAGCCCCGATCCAGACTGCACCCATCACCTGCGTCTGCAGTTTATCTGGGGTTTTGGAGTCTCCCCTCACGTTCTTGGCACAGCTTGGACCTTTGTCCATGCTAAAGATACTGCCTGGCATTTTTTTTTTTTTTTTGGGGATGAATTGTGGGCACATGAAGCTGCCGTGGGTGCTAACGCAGGGATGCTCTCAGGCTGGAGACTTATTTATCAGTGAGGTTGTCCTCCAACGGCTGCATCCATTATTTTATGCCCTCGGCTGGGTACAGGGAGGAGTTCTTCGTCTGCAACAAAATCATCCCAGAGTCAAGGAATCATGAACCAATTAACCCTGGAAAGTTATGTCGGCCCAGTTTTTTGAAGTCTGCTTTGATTCCCTGCCTGCTATGGCTGTTAATCTGTATTTAATGTAGCTTTCTGCATTTTTATCAGGGCTTGTAAGTTATTGCACCTTGCTACCTCAACAGAGGAGGTAATCAATCTAAAGGAGGGCCCCCGGGGAGCACAGCCGTAATCTGCAATTTCCCATTGACTGTAATAGAGGGAACATCCCGGAGAGTTCCAGCAGTTCCTGGAAATGCACCTGGGCTGAGAGAGATTAGGAGATGTTACAGACACGAGTTTGTGGGCTCATCCCTTCCGTGAGCGGTAACGGCAGCCCCGGGTCGCGGGTGGCCGCCCGTGCAGAGCACGAGGTGGTACAGCAGCGATCACGCAGCCCCCGAGCACACGGGTACCACAGCTTGGAGGGTGAGAGGAGGATGGGGATGGGTGACCGGGGTGGGTGGAAAGGAAGACTTGGTGAAACCATGAGCGAAATGGCTCCTGGGAGGCTCTGAAGCAGATGGCGGTATTTTCCGTCCCTCTCCGTGAATTTGCTGTTTTCTTTCAGCATTAACAGCTTCACGTGTTGAATATTTCTACAAATGAAGTCCCATTTCTGATGCCTCTCAAATGCAGATGTTTTACCATCTAATTTATCAGCTCATTAGAAAGGTAACAGAGTTTTATTTCTCCTCCTGGGCACACGGTCTCCTCTCAAGGTACAAATTCTCTCCAAGGCTGCTGAGGTGCTCTCTCATTGCAGTGTCGCCTACTTGTAGGCAATGCTCAGCATTCCTGAGGCGTTTTCTTAAGGTCAATAAGAATTAACTGCAAATTTAATTAAAGTTTCAGATGCTTGCACTAAAGTGGAGCATAACAGAAGCCTGGTCTGCTCTTTGCTGGTTTAAGCCAGATCTGGAGGGAGATGGGGGTTATCAATAATTAACTGGGGTAATATAGGGGAAAGTATTAGGGAGTTAATGAAAGTGTGAAATAGCGTAATTATCTTGCGAGTAGCTGGGAGTGATGGAGCTGCTGAGGAAGAGGAGGCTGCTGTTCCTGATGTGGCCCCAGGATGACGTGGGGACCCAGCGCCTCTGCCACCACCCTGACCCCAGCGGCCGGTGGCTCTGCATTAACCGAGTGCGGGATCGAGGGTTTAAAACCAAGTCGGCGGCGTCCAGCCCATGGCAGGGAGTCGTGCATCTTTCATTCCCAAAGCTGTAGCTGTGTTGGAGCCTGTCCAAGGGTCTGCGTGGCCGGCAGAGCCTATGGCTCTGATGGACCAGCCTTGGGGGGCCGTGCATGGGATGTCACTGCCCCATGGCTGTCCCCGGAGGGGGGACCAAGTATGCGGCCACGCTGGCAGGGGAAGGTCTCTGCACCCCATCGCACAGCCCACGGGCGCGGGAGCTGCTTGCTGCTGCTCCGGCAGTACCTGTGCAAACAGAGTTGGGAATCCCTGCCCCAACATGGGCTTTTATGAAAAATTCTGTTTTAATTAAATTTTAATTAAGCTTAGGATGGTGTGGTTGGCTTTAATTAACGTTGGTGTGGTTCCCGTGTGCTGAGAAGCCCTTGGTCAGCAGGATGAGCGTGGGGAAGATGCTGGTATTGCTGGGTGAGGGTCTCCTGGGCTGCATGCGGTGAGTGGGGTCCTGGGGGTCCCTCTGCCCCACAGACCCCTTAGGGACGGCCTCGGCACCATGGGGCTCAGCCTGGCCCTTGCTGTCCTTCTGCAAAAAGGAGGGGGGGGGACGGGACATGACAGTGGCTTTCATTAAAATGTTTTAGCAAAACCTTTGCTGGGGCATCCAGACTTACGTCGTTCTTCATGGTCACTGCGTCAGAGCTCTCGGAGAGCACCACTGCTGAGGGGCAGCTCATGGGTGTCCTCTCTGGTTTATGACCTTGGCAACATCGCAATGGCAACTGCAGCAAACCCAAACCTTTCGGTTTTCCGAAAGCTGAGCACAACCATGAATTCCTGAGCTTGAGTTAACTTGGTGCCAGTTTGGGGAGCACAGGCTGAGAAAAGGAGTGTTTTGGTTTAACGTGGACTCTCTAGGCTCTTGGATCACGTCATCCCAAGCGTTGGCTGTTTGATAATAAACAGTTTATTGCCCATTGAGGAGAGGAACCGTTTTAGGTCTTGAGCCCGTGTTTGCTGAGAGAGGGTTTGGGGCAGGTGAGCAGCAGGAGGAAGGAGCCGCTTTGCCGTGCAGTAATCCCGGTGGCATCCGGGGAAGCGCTGCAGAAATGTCTCAACAAGTCGCCCAGAGAAGCTGCGTGAAGCAGCCCGGCAAACCCTATGGCAGGTTTCTGAATGTAATTAGAGTTAAGCATGCTTGGATTGCCGGGGGGAAAGCCCAAGCAGTGGGTTGGAGGTGTGCTGACAGCGGCATTCGGTGATGTGCGGTTGGTTTTGGCTTGGCTCTGGGCAAGTGCGGCAGGGAAGGAATGGGGTGTGGGGTGGAAGGGCCTGATCCTGGTTTGGGAGGGTGCTTCCCAGTGGGAACGCCGGCAGTCAGCCCCTCCAGTGACTGCGGTTATTTGGGGGGTGGGGAGGAAGATGCTGGAAAGTTCGGGGAGAGCGCCCATCGCTGTCCCGAGGATGCAGGTACCCCCCCGGAGGGCACCCACCTGCCTGGGCAGCGCTGCTGCCAAACAGGAGGGTCTGGGCTGCCAGACAGGGATGGTGGGGACAAGAAGTGGCTTTGAAAATGCTGGCAGCATTAGGAAAATTACTATTTTCAGCGAAAGAAGGAAAGTGCAAGTAACTGTTCTTGACATTTCTATCACATCGACTCTAGAAGTGTAAAGATTAATTTTGTCACTGGTATCCTCCAGGTTAAGTTGACCAAAGGAATACAAAAAAACAAAAAAAAAAAAAAATCAAACCTCAAAACTTTTCCCATTACATAAGGAACATATGCTGCTGGGCAGAGCCCTGGTTTCCCCACAGCACAGCCCCGGCTGCTGCGTGGTCTGTCCCCTCTTGCGGGGGGGGGGGACGAGCCCCCGTGCAGCAGGATGGGGATCCCCAAAACACCCCGTCCTGCCCCAAAGTGCTGCTGCCAAGAGCCGGCTCCGCTGCGGGACCCAGCCGCAGCACGGCAGGAAGGTCCATCCTCATCCTCCTGCTTTGCCCGTGTTCCCGCAGGGATCCCCAGAGCAGGGGTTTGGAGCTCTCCCTGCCCTCGCGTGGGTCAGCTTGGCCTCAGACAAGCGATGTTAAAAAAAACCTTCCCCTGCCTGGGTGAGGGAGGAGAGGTGTATGGGAACAGCGGGGGAAGCTCCTCTCTTTTCCAGCCAGCCCCAAGGGACATGGGGTGGAGCAGCCCCAGAGGTGCAGGGACACCCCGGGGGAAACCTCGAGTTTTAAAACTCAGAATTCTTCCAAGTTCAGGCAAAGTGGAAAGTCCTTGTAGGAAAAAGTCTGTCCAGTGCCAGCTCTCTCCTTTCGGTTAACTGAAATGTCTCGGTTAGACTTGATATTTCTGCTTTATTTTATCCCTTGTTGATGTACTTTATGACAGTTAATATTTGGGTCTTGGTACTTTTTCCAAGAGATTTCCTGATCCCTGTAGCTCCTCCGGGGATGCCTCTGGGTGTGGAGCAGCTTGGGTTGGGTCCCGTGTGTTTGCTGACCCATACAAGTGATTTTGTGTCAGGATGGTGGATGTTTGTTGGCTGGCTGGATGTCGGCATCTAGACAGCAGCTGCTCCAGAAGCCATGTCATTGCTTGGTGCCTCAGTTTCCCACTGTAAACCAGTGCTTGCCTGCTGGGTTAAGTGCTCTGCCATCTGCTGAGAAAAGTCCTAGGTGGGAGCAAAGGAAGTGCTTATTCTGTGTATGTATTACACGTATTTCTGTGTGCACACAGATGTATTTTTTGTTTCAGAAGAACGACTGAAGTGGTTTGGTCATTTCCCAAAGTATTAAGCAAACCTCCGAAAGCCTCACGTCCCCTCCCTGCGGGAAAGCGGCCTCCTGCTTGGGACAGAGCCAGTGTGAGGAGAGCCGCCCAGGTGGGGTGGACAGCAGGGCTGAGCCCCTGGCACCGGAGCAGAACGCTGCTGTGCTCCGAGCAGGATGAGTTTTGCAGCCCAGGGGCTTTCAGCAAGAGACTCCTGGGGAGGGGAAGCGTGCATGTCACCCCGAGCATGATGGAGGGAGTGGGGACCACGGCTTGTGACAGCACAGATGAAATAAGTCGTTTCAGTCCCAGATGCGCCCCGTGAAGAGCGCGCATCCACGTGGGGTCTTGTCAGTGAGGGATGCTGTGGGAGTGAGCTGGTGGGACGTGGCTGGGACGCAGCAGCAAGAGCTGCCCGTCCCCTGGCACATCTGCACTGCCCGCCAGCAAGGGAAACCATGGGGAGCAGCAGCAGGTCGGGGTGGCACTGCGTGGCATGGAGCCACCCTGGCGCTGTGCCCGCAGGGACCCGTGAGCTGCCTCCTGGCTGGCCCCGCAGTCTCGGCTCGGGGGGCTCCACTGTTGGGGAAACCAAATTTCCTCTTCACCAGGGTGGCCTGCAGGGACGTGTCCACCCCCAAGAACAAGGGGAACATGAAGGGCTCTGGAAGATGTGAAGGGCTTTGGGGCAGGTGCCTGTGCTGGTGGCAGGGGGGACCCATTCTGCAGCCCCTGGCTCTCCTCATAGGGTGACATGCCTGGGTAATTTCTCCGGCAATTAATGCCTCATTAAAGTGCACAAGGGAACAATCAGGGCAGTGAATTTTACACAGCACAATGGCTGAGCCCTGAGAGATTTTCTGCCTCTTTTTAAAAAAAAAGAAGGAAACTGTCTTTTTCTGGCCTTAACCACTTACTGCCTGGAGGCAGAAGAGGTGAGAGCTTTGGTGAGCATCTCCATCCCCAGCCACCCACCGCTTGGGTGCACACCCCCGTGATGTGATGAGATTTACCTCTTTGCAGCGCTACGCGTCAAGTTGGCACCTCCAGGATATGTAATGCTCTGGAGGCTGGGATGAAAACCAGCCCCATCCCAAAACCGCGCATGTTGAGATGCCAGTTGCCATCACTGAAACTCTCTGGAGGGAGGAGAAGGGGTCAGGATGGATTTCCAGGGTTGGGAAGGGGGTTGTGGGGAACCTCTGAGGGGGACCGACAGCCTGCAAGTGCTCTCTGGATGGTGCTGCTGGTGGGACAGAGTGACAAGGAATCCCTTCCCGGGGACAGACACTGAGGGGGGACGAAGGGGAGGCTGAGACGAGGCAAACAGAAAGGAGAGACCTGACCAGGGGGGTCCTAGGAGGTGACTGGTGGGGTGTGAGAAGGCGGTGTCCCTGGCTGGCAGGAGGGGAAGGAGAGTGGCAGTCATGGTTGAGAAGCTTCTGGGCATTTCTGGCCAGGTTTTGGGGCTTGTTCGTGCTCGTCCCCATCATAGCATCAGGTCGGAGCAGTTGTGCCTTGAGCCCTGAATGTGTCCCTTTCTCCCCTCAGGAGCCTGATGCCGCGGACACTGGAAGGGCAGATCACGATGGAGAAGACCCCCAGCTACTTCGTCACCAAGGAGGCTCCCCGGCGCATCTACAACATGTCTCGGGACACAAAACTGATTGTGGTGGTGCGCAACCCCGTCACCCGCGCCATCTCAGACTACACACAGACGCTCTCCAAAAACCCCGCCATCCCCAGCTTCCAGGCCCTGGCCTTCAAAAACGTCAGCACGGGACTGATCGACACGAGCTGGAGTGCAGTGAGGATCGGGATCTACGCCAAGCACCTGGACAACTGGCTTCAGTACTTTCCCCTCTCCAAATTCCTCTTTGTCAGCGGGGAGAGGCTCGTCAGCGACCCGGCCGGGGAGATGGGTCGTGTCCAGGACTTTCTGGGTCTCAAGAAGGTGGTGACGGACAAACATTTCTATTTTAATGAGACCAAGGGCTTTCCCTGCCTGAAGAAGCCGGAGGGTGGCAGCAAGCCCCGCTGCCTGGGGAAATCCAAGGGGCGGCCGCACCCCAAAATCGATGTGCAGGTGGTCCAGCGCCTGCGGGAGTTTTACAGACCCTTCAACATGAAGTTTTATCAGATGACAGGGCAGGACTTTGGGTGGGACTGAGCCATCCGCAGGGCACGCCGCCGTGCTGGGACCTGGTCTGCCCAGTAGTGTGCAGAGCCAGGACTGCGGTCCAGGGATGCTCGTGGCTGCCGTGGTCCAGGGGTGCCCGTGGCCGCCCCGCCAGCAACCTCCTCCCTTCGTTCTAATTTATATCAGACCTTTTCCAGCGAGAAATGGACCCTTCTGGAGTAGAGAGAAATATTTAAGAAATAAAACCACAGATGACCCCTCTCCCCTCCCTGACCAGATTAAATATTCTTCCATATAAATCTTGCTAATCGATATTAACTGTGACCGTTCTCGGTGGCGAGTGGGAGCGTGTGAGTGCGTAGGTGGGTGCATGTGCGTGCGTGGGGACGACAGCTCTGCCATCCACAATAAGCAGCTTTGGAAACCAGTTGGCCACTGGGGCGTGCAGCCAGTGGGTTTGTGCTAAAGCAAATTTTGGTGCTGGGCGCAGGCAGTGGCTGCCGTCGGGTGGTGGATGAGGCTGGCTGAGCAGCAGACCCCACGCGTGGGGGAAGCTTTGCAGGTAGAAGATGGTCTGCAGGAATTTCCTCGTTAAGAAAAGCAGTTAGTGGCAGTAGTTTTGAATAAATGCCAGGTCCAGGGTTAGGGAGAGGGAGTTGTGTATCACATACCTTCTTATGTTCTTTGAGTCACCCAGATGATAAAGCCGGGCGTTTCTAACCCTTCGGATGAAAATCCCTCCTTCCCCTGAATTCACCCAAGCAGAGCAAACAAAAGCCCCAAACTCTGATCTTTCAGTTCAATAATCTCAATAGATTTTCAGATCTGCAGCCACAGAGGGCCATCATGGGAGGCTGCAGAAATTAGTTTAATCTGAATTAACGAGTTTTCCCTTAATTAAAGATGGGGAAAACATTTAATTAACCTCTAATATCTTATTAGTGACTTGTATTTGTCTCTTTAATGAGCTAATTAGGTGTTTTCAAGGGCCCTCAGGCCCCACATTGTTTGCAAATATGCTTTGGCTGCTGTTCCTTCCATCCTGCTGCATCCCAAAGCTGACTGTCCCACCAGGCGTGTCCTGCCAGGCGTGCCATCACCTCCCCTCACTGCTGCTCTCCGGGGATGATGGAGGTGGCAGGTACTGCTTTGCCTGGGATGCACACCATGCACCGGCCCCTTTCCTCCCAGCTCGGGGGTGATTTTACACCAGTACATTGTGCTTTGCACTGCACAGCTCTTCCCATTCCCATGTCCCATCCGCTGGCACCTCCTTTGTGGCCCTTGGAGGTGACATGTATTTTCTGTACCGATGCTCTGGGCTGTAGCTGAGGTTCAGCATGTTTGCCTCATTCAGCCCCTGGGCTCCTCTGGTCGCTGCTGGGACGAGTGACATGTGCGGGGATGGGCTTAACACGATGTCAGAGTTAAATGCAAACAGTTGCCTGCTTCTGTGCGGGGAGCGGGCATCGTGGTGTCGATGTGGGAGCGATGCCGGGGACGGACGCAGATGCCACTGGTGTGGTGCCAGAGCTTGGGGGCTTTATGGCTGGTGTTAAGAAACGGAGGTATTGTAAAAGACAAGTAAGAAGAGATGACGTGTGGCCTGGTTTTCTGCTGGTTAAAATCCCTCCGAGCGATGCGGCCATCGCCAGGAGGGACTCGGCACCCTGCGCCCAGTGCGGGGTCCCCTTGGCCGTGTCCCCCCGGGACTGCAAGTGCCCCGTCCGCCGACCCGCTGGGGTGGGATGTCGGAGCGGCTGGAGCCTGTTGTCAGCCTGGCTGGCAGCTCCGCATGATGGACTGCGCTCTGCTTGTTTAGGTTTTGTTTCCAGCCACGACATTCGACCAAATTATTCTCCACGAAGGGCTTTAAAGTTTCCCAAGTGCCTGTGAAAGCCTGGAAACGCTGATAGTGATCCTATTTCTCAGCTGAGTGACTGCATTCAGCCCCAGCCATATTGATATGCAAAACGTTAAGGGTCCCGGCTCTAAAGATGGTTTCTGTCTGCCCTGTGAAAGGGAGCCATACTTTTTTAAAGCCCGGGCCTTTCTAAAGCCGCACAATACCATATAGACTATGCCATTTAAAGCATCTGAAGCGACCCAAAATGTATTGAAAGCTTGCTTTGCAGACTCATTAAGACTACTCAATAGGTTCTGGCAAATACTGTGCCAGGGCTGACCGCACGGATTAAGACTTTTGAAGTGTTACACAAACCCCCTGCTTAAACTAATTGCTGCCCCGCAGCTCATGAGGTCAAGTATTTGTATTCATTGCCTCCGAGAGGAGCCACTTATGGGTCTGTCCAGGTGAAGTCTGCACTTCATTAGATCAAGACAATAAAAGCGGCTTTGGGGAGGCAGGGAGAAGGTGCCCGGGATGAAATCTCCCAGCTCTTGCTCTGAGCGCAAGCACAGGTTTATGTCCACCAGGGCAGCGGTTTGGGTCGTTGCTGTTGCTTTCGGGAGCCCCAGCGGAGTGATGCGCTTCCAACCCAAGCTGCTCGGTGCAGGTTGGCAGCTGGGCCAGTGGCTCTGCCAGGATCTGCATCCAGTTGCTCTCCGGTCACCTGCGGCACGTGGGACACAGCGCCCACGTCCCACTCGTGCTGTGGTGTGGGTCCACTCAGCGTCATGGGGGTTTCTGCTGGAGAAGCCAGTTGGTGTGCAAGGGAAGGGCTGGGGCATGGGAAGGGTGGGCATCACCTGAGCAGTGACTGCTTGAAATTCAGTGTGCTCATCGAGCAGTTCACCGTGATCTTTTGTTCCCCAGGGTTGGGTGGGTTCCCTTCACTGGCTGGATGCGGATCCCATCACGTGCTAGTGCAACATGTGTTTCTCCTGTCTATCCAGAGGGGAAACCGCCTTTTGTCATCACTGCCTCATCCCCTATAATTAAAAAAGGAGAATAAAGAAAGATCAGCAGCTGATTTTCTGAAGGTGTCAGCTTGCACCTTGGTGGAGGCTCTTGTGCCATGTCACCAAGCGCTGACGACTACTGAAGGAACGTCGCCTCTTTATTGT